CCCGGCGGGGGCGGTGTGCGGAGCGGGCCGGCCCCGGCAGGGCGTGGGGCGCCGCTCCTGGCCGCGGCGGACGCCTCCTGACCCGGAGGGAGACGAGGAAGCGGAAGCGCCGCCGCGGCGGGGACTGGGCAGGGACGCGGCGCCCCCGTGAGTAGCGGGCGGGCGGGGAGCGGCTTGCGGGCAGCCCCGGCCGCGCGCTGCCGGGCCGGGCCAGCCGAGCGGGCGCGCCCCCCTCGTTCCTCCCGCCAACGCCAGCCCAGCAGTGCTGGCCAGGACCTGGCGGCGGGCGCCCCGCGCGGCACGGGGCCCGGCCGGCCTCCGGCAGCGGGCGCAGCTCCGGGCAGCTGGCGCCAGAGGCCGGGGCAGGGCGGGGCAGCCGGAGAGCCTGGCGTCGCTCCCGGGAGGTGTCCGCCGCAGCCTCTGGGGGGGGTCGCAGGGGGCCCCCGGCCCGAGTGTAACCCCCTTCTGCAACCCCTCCAGATGGCTTGGACCTCAGCTCCCAGCAGCTGCAGCCGCAGCCGCTCGGATGGCCAGTGCTCCAGCACGCTGCTTCCCGAGGCTTGAGGAGCGGGCCCAGGGCCTCAGGTGGGCAGCAGGGAGGCCGCGGGGCCGCGCGGCTTCCAGAGGGGGTCCTTTGGATGCACCCTCGCAGAAAGACCGCGCACCCACCTCCGGCCGCCTTCCCTTTGTAGCCAGACTGCCTGTGCCCAGCGTGAGCTCCCCTCGGAGAAATAACCTTAACATTTATTAGGGAAGTTAGGAAAGGTCAATATCCTGGAAGAATCAAGTTGCTAGCCCTGTGTGGGGCTGCCCTTGAGGCTTGTTCAGAAAGTGCAGTTGGTGCACATGGAGGCTAGCTTGAGCGCATGCACATTTCCTATGCTGGAAGTGCCGTCTTGATTGCAGGTTAACTACCAGGCCTTGTTCCTCACCAGTTTTGCTGTTAGTTGATAAGGCCCTCAGTAGCTTAGGACCAGATGATCTGAGAAACTGTCTCCAAACTAGGTTGCCCCAGTAGTTATTTTCTCTGAAGCAGGCCCTGTGTACCCTAGCTCATTTTATCTAATAGTCACCTGATAGTGGTACAGAGCGGGGCCTTCTCTGTTGTGGCACCTGTCGAGATTAGGTGTGCTTCTAGCATGGACTGTTTCCTTTAGCTGCTTCAGACAGATACCCATTTGCCAGGTAACTCTGCCTGGTAGAGGCAGGCCCAGGTGGGTGGAGGCTGCTCACGACGGCTGCTTCGATTCCCCTTCCAGGCTGCAACATGTGATATGGCAGCGGCCATGGAGACTGAGCTGCCAGGCCTCGAGATCTTTGAGAAGGCGGAGCAGCAGAAGAATGTGGCCCCCGAAGAGAAGGCCGTGCTGGAGCCGTTCTACGTGGAGAGGTACTCCTGGAGCCACCTGAAGAAGTTGCTGGTGGACACTCGGAAGCCCCACAGCTGCCTCATGGCCAAGGCGCCTCATGACTTCACCTTCGTGAAGCGGAACGACCCGGAGGGGCCCCACTCGCACCGGGTATACTACCTTGGTACGTTGGCTGCCTGCCTGGGCCTGTCACGGCTTGGCTGCCAGCCTGAAGCAGAGGCAAAGCGATGCTGATGGATCCCGGGCTGGGAGGTTAAGGGCGCCGGCCAGGGAGCCAGGCAGTCTAGAAAAACGGGCTCTTCAAGCACGGTCAGGACGAAGCGCGGCAGAGTGGTTCGGCGTGGGCCCCGTTACAGCTTAGCAGGGCATTCGTGGCCCAGGCTGGCAATCGGTGTGTTTCTCCAGCAGCCCCCAGCCAGGGCAGTGGCAGCCTTCCTCCCAGGCTCCCGTCAGGCTCAGGGGGAGCTGCTGACAGCACGCCCGGTGTTCCCAAGCAGCCTGGTCCGTCGGGCTTTGAGAAGTGTGCGCTGTTCCGGAGAGGCCCAAGCCTGGTGTGATTGGCATCCCAGGGTCCGGGCGGCCATTCAGCCCCCCCTTCTGCAGGTCCTCCTGAATGCTTCTGCAGCACGGAAGCCCAAACGGGTGGCCTTGGACTCAGCCTCCTGGGTTGAGCCTGGCCTACACTGACATCCTGTTGTCAGAAACCGCATCTTATTTCCAAAGGAAAGTAATATTGTGTGGCAGGGAAGAGGGAGTTCAAGCTGCATTGCCTTGAGAAGTTCAAATCGGGGTGACCCTTGTTCAATTCCCGTCTGTGCAACAGTCCTAGGAGATCAGCTGCTCTTCAGCCTCACTTATTGAAGGTTTTTTCTATGCCGTCTATTATTTTCATAGAAAAACCTGAGTTGGTTTATAATTTTAAGAACATAGAAGTAATTTACAGCATTGTGGGCAGGCTATATAGCGGCAAGTCTTCTGGGGTTGCTGGGGAAGTAATTGTAAGTGCTGCAATTGTATTTGGATGAGCAAGAATGCAGCTCGTCAATCAAACTCTTTATTATGGTCACAGATCAGCATAAAACAAATGCTGAAGTCACTTCACTATCCCCATAAATAACATGGAAGTTAACAATATTAAATACTACAATGATTGATTCAGCATTAAAAAGATGGTAAAGTTAGAGATAAAAATAAAACATAAAATATCAATAAAGGCTTCCAGCCTCCTAGCCTTATTGTGTTGCTATATAATCCCCTGTAAAATAGTTACTTAAAATGTTTTAACGACCTTATTATAACATCCATCTTAATGGGCTTTAGAGTGTAACAAATTGTAAGTGCTAAGGTATTTGGATAATGGGGACACAGCTTGTCAGTTTTTTAACTGGGAGGTTAGAAAACCCTGTTTTTTAAAACATGTTTTGGAAATGTTAATAGGAAATAAAAAGTAAAGAGTTAAAGGGCCCCTGTGCTTCCAAAATAAACTTCATTGCCGCAAGATCACTGGCTTAGATTATTTATGTTTATATTGTATTTATTTGCTGTTGCGTTTTTATGCCTCCTATTGTGACAGGGATCTCTAGGTGGCTTACAAAAGTAATCGAAACACAATTCTTAAGAACAATAGAACAGCAAAAACATCACATAAACATAATAATAAAAGAGTGGCAATATCATAGTGGCCATTTAAGATAATAGATATAGCGAGTCAGAAGGCCAACTATATGCTTCCTTAATATCAAAGAATTTAGAATGAGTTGTTAAAGTGCCTGGTAGAGGGAAATGCTTTCGCCTGGTGCGGGGAAGAGAAGATGTTGGCGGCTGGCAAATCTCTCTGGGGAGTCTATTCCATAAGTGGGAGGCAGCCACCGAAAAGCCCCTTCCTCTATTTACCGTCCCTCTCACCTCCTAAAGAGGTGCATGTATCAATTGTGAGCAGCCCAGAGTGCTTTGGCTCTGGGTTTGGGTTGGGGCAGTGTAGAAATGACAGCAATAATAATAGTTTTTATCTTGCCCTTTAGGGCACGCCCTCAGAATATTGTTTATATTACGGATGTTAAAAACAATCAGACAAAGTTAGAAAAATAGCTTGTGATAAGATCATATACAGAGAGCCAGCAAAGACAAAGATTAAATTGAAACATGCGTTTAAAAAGCCTCCAGGACCTACCTACAGTGAGTGAGCCTAGGAGAGCCTTTCACCACCATGGGGAAAGGAATGGAGCCGCCACTGAGAAGGCCCTGTCCCTGCTACCCGCCGCCTGATCAACATCCGTGGTGCTCCAAAGGGCAGGGGCCACGTGGCCATTCCCTGGACCAAGGCAAGTCCAGAGGGGTGAGGACTATAAAAGTTAACGGGGCGCAGTCCTATACATGCTTATCCTCCAGTTTAGGGCCATGCCCCATTTGTGAAGGAGGAGGAACCCATCCAATACCCATTAGCCACGGTGAACTCAATGGAACATTCAGATTCAGCAGCAGTGCATTCAGAGCGCCAATCGCCGGAGCAAACAGTGGCCGAAATCTTGGACTTGGACCCTCAGTCTTATCTAACAGGTCAACAGGTCGTAAGGCTTTGTTCTTAAGGTTATGTAAATAAGCAAGCTTATTTGAATTGATTTGCTTAAAAAAACAGGCAGACGTAGCCAGAATCATTTCCTTGTTTAGCTCAAGTAAGAACAGGAACAAGATTCTTTGTTTGCCTGAAAAGTGAGAGTGCGCCCAGGCATCAGAAGCGGTTTTATATTCGACATATGTTCATTGTGGCAGCTGTTTTTCTAGCCCACAACCAGCTCTGACCCCATATCAGACTTCGAACATATCCCTATGCATGACTCTTTGCCGTGTGTGTTTTTTTCCATACTCAGCTATGTCTGGTGAGAACCGGGAAAACACGCTTTTCTATTCCGAAATCCCCAAATCCATAAACAAGGCTGCGGTTCTTATGCTATCCTGGAAGCCTCTGCTGGATCTTTTTCAGGTGGGTGGCTTGGTTGCCTCTTGTGTGGTTTACCCCCGTTCCCTTCCCCCTCCTTTGGCATAGCTGCGCGATCTCTGCTTGCTCGTGAAGCTGCAGCCGTCCGAGGTGAAAGCCATCAACTTCGAGTCCTCAGCAGCCTGCACCTGCGTTCCAGCTCTCCTCCTCCCATGTTACAGTCTTCATGGATTAAAAATTTAAAGCATTTTTCGCTTGTAAGATTATCTGCTTTGGTGCATTTTGTAAATTGAGACGATTCCCAGTAATGTTGCTTGCCTCAGTTCAAGCCAGTCATTCTCTTAAGAAAAATCACAGGCGTGAGAGAGAGCTCGGGGTACAGTGCAGTGAAGTTTTGCTGTGATGGATGCCCCCTTTGAAGCCCATAGGTGCACACCCCATGGGGTTCAAAAATAGGGCCTACTGTGTTCTGTGGATCTTGATCCCCGGTGAGCAGGCCTCACAACCTGAAGGCAGTCGTTTTCAGTGTTGTGTGCAGTCCATTCTGGGGCACATTTTAAATCTGAGAAGCCAAATTTGGGCAAGTTTTTAATGAGTTTTTAAGCCACTTTGAAGGACAGACCTGCGGGTCCCCCGGATGAACCTATACATGGGATTAGGAAAGAGGCGGTTCTGTGACCCTGAAAGACAAGACTGTGCCAGTGCTTTTTACCTTCCCGTAAAATGTGATAAGAAGGGAAGTTGTTTTTTCCTGGGGGCTCCCTTTGCCTACTTTGTGCATGGAGACCTTTTCTACAGAATAACGCTTTTTCCACCTCATGCCCTGGACTTGCTTGGCCAGGACCAAATCCCACTTTTGAGGACGATAGCCTTGAGTTCATTGTAAGAAAAAATCAGGATATAGACGGAATGAATGAATGAATGGCAGTCTTTGCCCTGGGTTGCGCTTCCTTGTGTTTTCGTATTACAGTACTTTGATTTTTCACTCTTTGCAACTTGACGAAGAACTCCCACGCAGGGGAGTTCACAGAGCGTCGCTTTCGTCCAGCTTCTCATGGAATTGCAGTTGCAACCAAGTTTTGCCGAATCATATCGGGAGTGTCTCACACACTGCCAGCTCTCCGGGAGACTGAAACACTGCCTTGATGATTGTAAGTCGAAGAAATAGATGTGTTCTTACTTTTCCCCATGTCAGGCCAGCCTAGATTATGGAATGTACTCCCGAGAGGAGGAATTGTTGCGAGAGAGAAAGCGCATCGGGACGATTGGGATCTCCTCTTACGATTATCACGAGGAAAGTGGCACGTTCTTGTTCCAGGCAGGCAGTGGGATCTATTACGTGAATGAAGGGGGCCCCCACGGGTTCACGGTGAGTTGGCTCGGAGGAAGCCCCATGGGCTTGGCACAGCAAGCAGCCGAATTGGGTCCTGGCACCAGCTGCTGTGAACAGCTGCTTGCTGGGGGCTGGGGGTGCGGGGGAGGAGGAAATTCTGCCCTGAAATCCTTGAAAAGAAAAAAAGTTGGGTATAAATATAATATGCAAATAAATTTGGGGTGTATTTAGTTGATGAGTTTTTTCTGGCTAGCTGTTTAAATTTGGTTTTCATTGATATTTAATGTAACCTTCCTTGAGGCCTGATTCAGAAGAAATGGGATGCCTGGTGTGTCCCCTAATCTTGTTTGTAGACAACGCACGCCCGTCTGCTTTCACTTGCATTTGCCACATTTTGTCCTTTCACAAATCAATAGTTCTTGGATCTCCCTGGAAGAAATCAGCTGGTTTAGAACTGCCGATTGCGGTTTCCCTTTCCTCTCTGATTACAGAAACAGCCTTTGCAGCCAAATTTGGTGGAAACAAGTTGTCCAAACATACGGATGGATCCCAAGCTGTGTCCGGCCGATCCCAACTGGATTGCCTTTATCCATAGCAATGACATCTGGATCTCCAATCTAGCAACCAAAGAAGAAAGGAGGTTGACCTTCGTACACAAAGGTAAGTAGCCTTGGGCTTAACGGGCACTGGTGAGCTTGACTGTGATTTGTTGCCTATCCTGGTTAAAGTGCCAGATGTACATTAACATCATGGTTGGCCTAATTAAGCCAAGCCTAGCCCTACCTCTGTGATTGGGTCTTGAGAAGCCTCTAGAAAAATCTGTCAAAAGTGCGGACTTGCCCCTCAGGCATGAGTAATGCGAGCCACAATTTACAAGCCTGCTTCAAATCAAAATCTGACCCTTAGGATGGGTGCTGTGGTTCATTGGGGTGCTATGGGGCTAGGCAAGCATCCCGCAAAAGCCCCACAGCTCCCAGCACTAATTCAGGCTTGGAGTGCCTTGTAGGTTCAGGAACATCCTATTGGACTAGAATGGGGTTTGAGCATGGCCATTGCTGTCCTGATCAGCTTGAGATGCTTCTTCAGAGCTGATCTCTGTTGGAAACAGTGTAGAGGGATACCCAGAAATAAAAATGCCCTGTCTTGTGAACTGAGTGAGGGCTGACATGATGAGAAGGAAAGCATTTCACATTTTAGACAGCAGCACCAACCATTAATTGCAAGCTCATGGTTTTCTATTCTTAATCAGAATTGTGCCGGTCTCTTTAAGTACTTCCTTCAAGAGCAAAAGTGGCTAATAATTGTAATCTTACTGTGGCTAATAATCTTTTATTCTTACTAATAAAAGATCATCTTGCCTTGAATAATCTTGTCTTTTTCTCAGTACATGTTGAAGCCCACATCCTTATGCGACAAAATATATAACTGTAAATGTTACAGACCCTGAGGGTTTAAAAGGGAGAACATGCGCAAGCGCTAGTTTGCGAGCTTGCAAACACGCCTGGGGACGTTGCGTGTGAGAGGGCAAGCCCTTCTGTGCCCCCCCGCCCCCCCCACATGGGTGCAACAGCAGTGGGAGAGTCCGGCACATCCCCACCTCCGGCATCCGCAGAGCTGCCTTCCCTCTGGGCAGAAAAACGGGCATTTTGCAGTTACAATGCGTATGACGAGCTTTCTTTGTGCATCATCTTTTTCCAAATAAAAAAATGCTTCTTGCATCATCTGTCTAGAATTCACCAACATTGAAGAGGATCCAAAATCCGCTGGGGTTGCTACATTCGTGCTCCAGGAGGAGTTCGACAGATACACGGGCCACTGGTGGTGTCCGGAAGCAGAGACAAGTACGTGTGCCCACAGCCCACAGTGGGGGTGTGGCACAGAATCGCCTTTCTGCGATTGGATTGCATATGCTGTGTTTTATCTTCTCTATTTCTTATATTAACTGTATTAAGTCATGAATTTTATTATTCATAATTTTACTGCAGTGGCCACCCAGAGAACATAATACAGCGAGTGGTACCTCGGCTCACGAACGTAATCCATTCCAGGACTCTGGTTATGATCCAAATTGGTCGCGAGCCAAGTCAATTTTCCCCATAAGGTTCAATGTAAATAAGGTTAATCCGTTCTGCAACTATTTTTTAATCACAAAAATTTGAAACAAAGTGACAAAGAACAGCAAAGTAACAAAAGATAGCACAGTAGAGAAGGCAAAGCTAGGTGGGGGAGGTGATTGTTTGGAGGGAGGGCCCAAACGATAATCGTGCGATGGCGATTGTGCTGGGGGGGGGGCGGGTGGCCGCCATTGTGCTTGTGCAGGGGAGACGGGTGCATTCGCAGTCACGCTCATCAGGGAAGATGGCCGCGATCGCGATTGTGTTCATGCGACAACATGGCCACGATCGTGGTTGTTATCCAATGCGGAGTTCACAACTTGAGTCAAAATTTTTCTGAAATTTCTGCTCGCAACCCGATGTGGTCGTGAACTGAGGCGTTCGTGAGCTGAGTTACCACTGTACTAACAGACGGCTTTTATACTAAATAAATAAATAGAATTGTAGAGCTGGAAGGGGCCCTGAAGGCCATCGGGTTCAACCCCCTGCTGTTGCAGGACACCAGTATCTGAACTCCCTCTTCCTGCTCCCTCTCTGTGGTGCTTGGTCCTAGATGGCAGTCTGGATGTTCCGTCAGCGTGGGGCCATGGATTATTTCTGCAGTGCCGAAAGATAGCAAGCTGTGCACTGCTTGGTTGCTTGCTTGTTTTTATACTACCCGGCAGCTGGAGCTGTCTGAACAAAAAGGATTTAAAGCTGTAGCTTTCTACCCAAGCTCACGACCTAAAAAGTGCCAAAAGGTAGGAAGAGGAGGCTTAAGAGGGCAAGGAATGACACAAAATTAATTCTGTTCAGGACTTTGAACAAAAAAAGAAGAAGAAAACCAAGAAAAGATAGGAAGACAAGGGTTAAGGAACTTCAGTATTATAATTATTACATTGCATTTATATCCCATCTTTTTCCCTTTGTGAGGAACACAGAATGACTTCTACAGCTCCATTTTATTTTCACAGCAACCCTGTGAGGCAGGCTGGGCTGCGTGTGGGTGACTGGCCCAGAGCTTCATTGCCAAACAGGGACTAGAATCTGAATCTCCCAGGCCCCTGGTGCAGCCTCATGCACAACCAGACCACACTGGCCCTTCACTAAGCACCGTTACCCTTGCTCGTAAATGGGCAGCCTGACCTACCTCACAGGGTTGTTGTGCAGATAAAATGGAGCAGAGGAGCTCATAAGCTGCTTTCCTTGTGAGAGGAAGAAAGGCATAGCCTAAATGCAATATAATGATTCAGATAATGCTGTTCCTGCCAGTAAGACTTAGCAGAGGCAATTCAACTTTTTAGAAAGGGGGAAAACTGCAGAAAAGCTGGAAGCCACGCAGCAGGGGACGTCCGAGGCAGAGCCAGGCAGAGGGAGCGTGGCTGTGTGTCCCATGGGGGACCAGATGGGGCGAAGGCGAGTAGGCAGGGGAGCGGAGACCCCTTCCTCCAGGCCTTCACCTGAACTCATTTCCCTTCTGAGCACTGACTCGGTGGCCGGTGGCCATCCCTCTTGGCAGCTGCCGATGGAGGCAAAATCCTTCGAATTCTGTATGAAGAGAATGACGAGTCGGAGGTGGAAATCATTCACGTCACGTCCCCCCTGCTGGAGACGAGGAGGACAGATTCCTTCCGGTACCCCAAAACAGGTGAGCGAGTGTGCGGTGGTGCTCAGGACAGGCTCAGAGGAGCCCCTGCCACCCCCAGCGGTGCACCCGGCATCCATGGCACGCTCGTGTGCATCAGCCTTGGACGCACACGGGCAGCATTGGGGAGAGCAGAGTCGAAGCCCGCATTGTGCAATCCCTTTGTGAGTGTTGGTTGCTCTTTTCCCCTTTAGGCACGGCAAACCCCAAAATAACGTTCAAGTTGTCCGAAATAAGGATTGGTGCCGACGACAGAGTAAGTCTGAAGCTCGCGCGCGCTCTCACACCCGCTGGCACTTTGGTAATCCCATTGAGAGCTAGATGAGAAGAAGGGGTGTGGCTGGAAATGCCGGACCCAAGTCCCAGGCTGTCCTTCCAGGGTCTGCAGGAGACCTGGCCCCCTCCACCAGGGCAGGCCCCTGTCTCCAGCCATGGTTTCTGGGACAGCTTCGTATTTTGGCCTCCTTCCTTTGCGGCTTCTGAGAGCTCCAAAATGGAATTCAGTCTGGAGGAGGCCATGAAGATCTGAAATATATAAAAGCAGGAGGCCTAGAAGTGCTAGGGAGAAGTCCGTTTGGTCCCTCCTTTTATGCGAACCAGCCTAATTTACACTTCTTGGGCTTTTATGTTGCTGCAGCCACAAGTAGCCTTCAGTCTGTGCACATTCCCAGATATGTGGCGAAGTCGTTTTCAGCTCGAATGCTGTGTATGCAAAGGCTTTTATTAGGCAAAATTCCTGTGCAGTGTGTGCAGGCCAGAGGAGGCAGCATGCAAAATAACTAGAATTTTTCATGCCGTTTCTAAAAAATTAGCAGAAATTTGAGGCCATGGCTTGGTGCGGATGGTCTTCCTCGCACAGCAGACGTGCCTTCTGCGCATGGTAGCTGTGCCCAGTTCCCCAGAATGAGGTGATGGCTGAATGCACCAGTTTCAGGAATTCTTTTTCTAAGATGGAATTCCGGCCTCTGCCCATCTCCCCCCACCCCAGTTTAGGGATCACTATATTGCAGTTGGGGCATGGTGGTGTCGAGCCGAAGGCTGGCAGTTTGAACCCTGAGTGCCGTGCAGCGGAGTGAGTTCCCATTAGTTGCCTCAGCTCCTGCCAACCTAGCGGTTTGAAAGCATGCAGTGGGGGCAGATAAATAGGAACCCCTTCGGTGGGAAGGTAACAGCCTTCCGTGCACGAAAGCGTCCAGTCGCGGCAGCTGCATGCCTACGGACGCATCCTTGGACAACGCTGGCTTTTCAGCTTGCAACGGAGCCGGACATGACTAGCCTGTGTGAGGAAACCTTCACCTCTGCCTACATTGCGGTTATAGGTGGTATTATTATTATTATTATTATTATTATTATTATTATTATTATTATTACATTTCTATGCCACCCCTTGCCGAAGCCTCGGGACGGCTTACAACACAATAAAATACATTGAAATACAATAGAACATAATAAATTACCACTAAATACAAAAATACAAAAAATACACTGAGTTACAAACATAATAATATAAAATTAAAATCAACAGTATAAAATAAGTAAATAAATAACATAGGAGGAGAAAAGAGAAGGAAGAAGAAGATGGAGATGTTTTTGGAAGACTGCAGTAGCCTTGCAAAGGTTTTCTGATCTATGTTTATTTTTCTTTCCCTGGCAGATTGTAGAAGTTGTTGATAAAGAGCTTGTGCAGCCCTTTGAAATCCTGTTTGAAGGCGTGGAGTACATTGCCAGGGCCGGATGGACTCGGGAGGGGAAATAGTGCGTATTGTGTTCCACCGCCATTTCTTCCACTTGAGCTGAGAACCGTTTGGAGCAAATGTTCTTTTATCCTCAATCCAAGCTCAGGAGATGAACTCTTAAAGTCGCTCCTTGCATTTGAGGGCTCTAAAATGTATTAGAAAGAGTTGACGAAATGTAGGTGCGTTTTTCTCCCATTATGGAAGAGCTTATCTTGAGGGGGTAACTCACTTCCCACTTTGTTGCTTGGACTGGGCCAGTCAACTTAATGAAAGCTTCACCCCTTTCCTTGGGCAGAAGTGCCCCGAGTTCCAATCTGCACCCGCATGTCAAGTTACTCTTCTATTGTTGTTGTTATTAATTTTATTTTCCAACCTGACCTGCAAGTTTTTCCTTACTGCCTTCTTTCCTTGGCTTAGCTCAGAAGCAAACTCTGGGGCGGTGGTGGCGAACCTATGGCACGCGGAGCCAAGTCGCCCCAGCATCGCCCCACCAGCCGAGCATCGGGCAAAAGCACACATAAGGGCCCTGCGCATGCTCGGAAAGGAGTAGTGGCGCCAGGCGATGATGTCACTTGCCGTGACCCATTAGCTGCGACTTGTCCGAGCTTTCGCATGGCCGGTCAGTGTGCTGCCAAGGATATATATATTTGCTTGGATGGCCTGTGAGTTGTTTTTTCTAAACTAAAGCCTCGGTATTCAGGTTTTATTGCAGTGTTGGAACTTTGCAATAATTAAGTGGGTTTTGGATTGCAGTTTGGGCACTTGGTCTCTAAAGGTTTGCCATCAGTGCTCTGGGGTCACCCAAAACTGACTCTGACTAAGGAATAATATCCTAAATTGGCTTTGTCTCTTTGTAAACTTGATGCGCCACCTTTCCATGAAATGCCCAAACGGGACTACAAAATGGAAAAGTCAGAAGTAAACAGCTTAAAGATACAGGGCAGCACCCAGCAATGTGACTGCGCTAATGCAGATTACGTCGTGCCAATACCCTGCATTACAAGTCCCTTCGGCTGCGCGGCGTGATCAGCGTCTGTGCCGTGAAATGGCTGGGTGCTGCCCATAGTCTGCTTATTTGGAATCATATCAACATTAGGACAGGAGAGGGAGGGAGATGAGCAAGGGCAAATGGCCTGCAGCCACCTCTGGGCTGGCGGAGTGAAATCCACCTGCGTCTCTGCTCTCCCAGATGAGCTGAACAGACCGTGGCCCCTGGCAAGCGCCTTGGGGCTTCGCCTGTGACAGCCCGGAAGGCCCTGCTCGGCTCTCCCTGGCGGGCCTCCGGAAGACGAGGGGCCTGCCGGCAGATCCCGCTTGGAGATCCAACGCACAAGTTCATGTAGGTTCATCTTACAGAGGGACCGCCAAGCTTCCGTAAAGTATGTTTTCCACATACGGGTATTTTTGAGTAAGCATCTGCGTTCCCCTCTGTTCTTTCTATAATTGTTATCCCGTTTTTAAAAGACGCTTGTTCCAATATAAATAAATATAAATATAGCATACCTTGTGTTAAAAAAAACTTATACAGAAGAAATAGACTGGATCCTTTAAAAAAAAGACCCTTCAATTTTGTGAAATTGGCTTTCCCGAGCTGCATCAGATAGCTTTGTTAGCCCCCTTTCCCTGCTTGAGTGCTCAGTTTTGGGCGCTTACTTGGAAAGAAGTCCTGATATCACGGGTGATGCATCTGTATGAGGAGAGTGTTATTGCACTGCTTGGCACGGAGGGGCGCTGTTTTCTGATTTCCCTTCTCTCCGATCAGCGCTTGGGCCATCCTGCTCGATCGACCCCAAACACGGCTGCAGATTGCGCTGCTCCCCCCTGCTCTGTTTATCCCGGTGGAAGACGATGCCATGGAAAGGCAGAAACTAATGGAATCTGTGCCAGACTCTGTCACACCGTTGATCATTTATGAGGAAACAACAGACATCTGGATAAACGTAAGCGTTTGCCTGCTCCGGTTAGGTCCCAGCGACTGCTTTAGCAGCCCCGTGCCGCAGGCTGGGATGTCATCAAATTTGCAAAGTTAGAATTCGAGGGTACAAACCTGGAGAGCCGAAGTCCATTTTGGGGAATCTTCAGGGCCTGGGTGAAGCCAACAGAAGTACACCTGGACCAAAATTGCTCCTTCCCCCTGAAAAGTCGGGCCGATTGTAGCTTCATGCTCGGGCTGTCAAAAACAAGGACACGGGAGAGGTGTTTTGAGCTTTTAAGATGGATAGAAACAGCACAGAATCTGTTGGGAAAACACCAAACAAGCATCAGGAGGGGAAGGGAGTGCAACCAGGGAAGGGGGTGGTGGCCACAGAAAGGGAGGTGCGGAGCGGGGGGACTTTGAAAGCAAGCTGGGCTGGATGAAGCACCCTCTCCAGGAATTCCTTGCACTTGGAAGAGAATGCAGACAAATGCTAACGCTTCGCAACGATCATAAGCCATCTGCTTGCTACAGGGCTGGGAGGGCTGGGTTTTGCTGCCATTCTGAGCCAGGGTACCTGTTGTCTTCTCCCCCTTTGAACCCTGCTTTGTTTCCACAGATCCACGACATCTTCCACGTTTTCCCCCAGACCTGCGAGGATACGATAGAGTTCATCTTTGCCTCTGAGTGCAAAACGGGATTCCGGCATCTGTACAGAATCTCAGCCCTTTTAAAGGAGAGCCGATACAAGCGATCGAGCGGCGCACTTCCTGCTCCAAGTAACCTGCTTCGCCACTTTAGTTTTGCTTCTCGTGGAACAGAAAGAGCAGCTTTGGTTGGCTACGAGAATTCCTGTCCTTGGAGGGTCTGCCCCCGCCCCAGCCTTTTTAAAAGCTTCTGCCTGGCACTTGAGCTGCAGCGGTGACCCCTTCAGCTCTAAGCAAACGCCTTTCCACCAGGCAGCCTGCACTGCATTTTTATTTTTCAAGTAAGCTGCTAGTCCTTAGGGCAGCAAAGAGGAGTTGAATGTGTTGCAGGAGCTGCAAAATGAAATCCCAGTGGCCAAAGCGTGGCTTTAGCTTTGTCTGCCCCATCGCTGTCAGGAGACGGCACCTGAGCGACCCCTTGCAAGTGCGTTGCCTCTGTGACATTGACTTAGCTTGACCAGGTAGCTTGCAAAAAGCTCACCCCACAACCTCGATGCCTCAGTGGGGTTTTGCAGGTAAAGCCGTGCGTAACGGCCGGCGCTGGAGAACTGGCCCTCGCCAAGCATGTGGGCTTCCCACTCACTCCCAGGCAGCAAACTGAATGCACGTCGGGGGAGCCCTGGAGGCTGATACTTCGAGGCGGGGTGAAATTCCCTGACTTCCCACTGGGATCCGTCAGCCTCAGCGGCTGGTGTTCACCCTGGCCCAACCACAAAGGGAAGATGGCCCACGCTGGCGCAGAGGCCTGCCCTTAAACCCTGGGGAACGGGCGCAGCCTGCATCCAGGCCTTCCTAAGCAGCGGCGCGCCTGGGGTGGCCCAGGAAGGGCAGGGGGGACTCCCGCATGGGGCTGCCCTGACCATTCTCTCGCTTTTGCAGGCGACTTTCTGTGTCCCATCAAAGAGGAAGTGGCGATTACTGATGGGGAGTGGGAAGTCCTTGGCCGACACGGCTCCAATGTAAGCCCCTCTGCTTTGTGTTTCTCTGCTGAGTGCATACCTGCTTGATCTTTTTGGGGAGAGAGCTCAGGTGTAAACAGAAGACCCGACTGGCTGGCGGAGTCTCTTGGGTCAGGCAGTGGGGAGCCGGTAACCGGCAGGTGATCAGGGCTACACCGCATGACTGGGGGGCACTCCTGAAAGTTCGGCTCGGCCTCAGCCCTCGTGAGCCCCTTCCCCTTCCAAATCTGCCTGGTCCTCACAGTTGCCTGGCTAATGCAGGTGCGGGGCTGGAGGGAAGGGGTGCCGAGCACGCAGATGGGAAAGGCCGCCTCTGGCATTTCTGCACAGCTCAACATTCACCGGGTCCAATCCAGTGAATATGCCTAGAAATGGTGCAGGGCAGTGGTCCCAACCCTTCTGGCACTTGCGGGCCACAGAGAGGGCCAGGAGGGCCACACCTGAAATCCGAATGTAGCAAAGGTATTAACCCGATGACTTAGATCAAAAGGACACATGCAGAGGTCAATGAAGAAATCTTAACTTGAATGCACTCCCAGTTTGGAGCAATATTTAACTGGAATCCTTTTATCCATTGCGTTATTTGTAAGAAAGGGACAGGAGAAACCCCAATAGATGGTGTCACTCGAGGCGGGAAGGACCGTGTGGGTCTGAGGGAGCAGGCCTTGAGGGTAATAGCAGTAGTAAGCAGGTAGGTCGGGGGGCCACACAGAAAGAACGTGAGGGCCACATCCGCAGGTTGGGGACCGCTGCTGTGAAGCCACCAAACCATCGTGCATTCAAAAACAAGATTAAAAGCAGGGAAGGACCTGGCTCACGCCTGGTAAAACCCTGACACTCCCACTCCAGAGAGTGGACCCCCCAGTAAACCAGGGTTCTGGGTTCTGCTCCCCAGGAATCGGCCCGGGTTGCTTGTCGTACGGGAAGTAGCTTTGCACACAGCAGCCAGCTCACACTTTCAGTGACCTGTGGTTTGGGAACCGTGGTTTCTTGTGTGTGAACCGGGTCAATGGAAAGGCTAAATTTGGAACAGGGTGTGTTTCCCCCCTTCGTAAAAGCCTGGAGAGTGGGGACCAACCTCTGTTCTGGAGGGGGTGCATTCCACAGTTTGGGAGTGCCAGAGGAGGAAGCCCTTGACCCGTGCCCTGGAAAAGGACCTCGGCACGCTGGAGAGGGGCCCCTTGCAGATCTTAGTAACCAGCTCATCATGAGGCAGGAGGTCCCTTCAGTAACCTTTTTAAGCTCTCTAGGACTGGAAAGGTCAAAAACGGATTAAGAGAGGCAAAACCGAAACATAGCAAAGCAGAAATGCAACTCCGGGCAGGGTGCGGGGAAAGCTGGCAGCAGCCTCAGTGTTTACACATGGATTGAAAACCAAGAGGCTCAGGTGACATCACATTTGGATGTTTATTAGTATTCCTGTGCTGTGCGTTCCAGGGACTGTAGGTACAGTATGTCAGGGCTGATCCGGAGGAGGCGAAATGGAGTGAAGTGCTTGACACTTGCTGGGTGGGAGTCTCGCTTCTGGATGCTTGCAGAAGCCAAGTGCTAGAAAGAGACCCTTTATCGCTGCAGCCCTTGTCCTCAGTACGCAGCATGTTTGTTTTATGTGGGAAGCAGCTTGAGCTGCTGCTGCCTTCAAATCACTTCCTCCCACCACACGGAAGACTCATTTGTAGGATCAATTGCACAAAACCCACCAAACAAGAACTGACAAGGCCATTGGAAGAAATGTGATGCTTACGTATTTCTGAGGTCTCTCCCCCTTAATCACTGAAATTAAGAAAGAATGAAATCCCGCCTGGGAATTGTTGATGGTACAAACTTGGGTCACTTCTGTTTGTTTGTTTGTTTCTCTGTTTGTGTATGTGTTTTTTTATCAGATCCGGGTGGATGAAGCTAAAAAACTGGTATATTTTGAAGGTACAAAGGATTCTCCCTTGGAGCATCACTTGTACGTCACGAACTACGAGAGCCCCGGAGAAGTGAAGCGACTGACGGATTGCAACTTCTCGCACGCTTGCTGCGTCAGTCAGGTACCTTCACAGGCCCACAGGCACCTTGTTCCGTGGCAGATTTCTCAGAGAGGGGAATGGGCAAGGACTGCAGGCGAGAGGGGCCCCACCGTCTCTCGGGGGGCCCCTGTGTGAGTGGGGAGGCAGGAAGTGGTCCTTCTGCACAGGGTGCCAAACCGGACGGTGTCCGGGCACTTTTCCCCTGCCCTGTCGTTTCCCGGGTTTTGGGCAGGCATGTTCCCCGTTACAAAGGGTTCAAGCGCCTCTCCTAAGGCTTAGTTACTGGTGGCAAGGCCTGCAGAATGGACTGGTATTTTCACCCTCACCCTCGAAAGAGTGAAGACTGCCATGGGCTGGAAAGGATTCTGAACCTCTCTTCTGTCCTGCTCGAATCGGTCTAGGCAGGTGCCCAGAGGTGGCTCTTGTTAAGACAAATGCTTGGAGGGCGGGTCTTCCAGCGGCGCGGGGCTGCTCCGCCTTGCCAGTGTGTTCCTGTTGCGGGTGGCCAGACCACCAGGCCTAATGTCGCATTCGGAGAGGTCAGAGCCGCAGTGGCATTTTTGCCTTTGCTGCTTGCCTTTCTGTGTTCTTTTCTAGTTTCGAAACTTGTTGGTCATTGTGGCTGCCAGCGATGGCAGCTGCTCTGGTTTCCTTGGGGTGCCCTGTGCAAGTAGGAAAACAAGATTCTGGAAATCAGGTGCGCCCAGAGCCGTTTCCACAATTTGAGGTGTCCTCTAAAAGCTATCAAGAGTCCCGACTTATTATTGCAATCAGGGGAAGCGCTGTGGGTCGGACCAGCGGCCCGTGGGGAGTCCCCCGCTAAGGCAGGGGTTCGCGGGCACCTCCTGCCCCTGTTTCCCCCCAGTGGGCACTCAGAAACATGCCATTTCCAACTCTGGAGCGAATTGCACAATCCCTTTTGTGTCGCCCAAGAAAGCAAGGTGGGCGACTCCAGATGTGTGGCCTGCAGCTCCCATGACCGCACACGGCTTGCGTGTGGCTGGGCGGTGGGAATAGGAGGCCGAGAAAGGGGCTCACTGAATGTGCCTGCGTGGGAATGTTCCCATGGATCTGGGGCAGAAGGAACTGCGAGGGAACAGGTAAATTTGTGTGCCCGCCCCCCTAATTGTCAGGAAGTCTGGCCCAAGACACTCTGTTCCTCTGACCGGGGCTAAAGTTCCCCTCTTTTCAAAGCCTTCATTTATCTTGCTGTTACAGAAGATTTCCTTGCTGAATGGAGCCATACGCGAAAAGCCAGGCAAATTCTAACTTGCACTATGAGGGATCCTCTAGCAGATGATGAACGACTTGCGGGGAAGTGGGGGAAGCTGAATGGCCGACCCGGAGCTGAGCCTGCCAGAGCCTGAATTCAGCCGGAAGTGTTTGGCGGGCCTTGCCACCTTCTGGCAATATGGGCCAAGGCTGCCAACCTCGTTGTACCAAGAATGTGGCGCAGTTGGTACCAATGATGCTGTGTGTGATCGCGGATAACAAAACCGGATTCCTGCCTCATTTAGCTGTGTAGGAAAGAGGGCAGGTTCTCGGAAGGAGTCTGCAGAGGGGAGAAGATCGGGATGCAGGATCCCAAACTGGTTGTCAGGCTGGTTCTTCTTTTTCCCAGAACTGCGACATGGTCATTTGTAAATTCAGCAATCAGCAGAACCCACACCAGGTGTCCCTCTACAAACTGAGCACTCCTGATGACAACGTCAGCCACTCGTCGAAGGAATTCTGGGCCACCATTTTAGATTCTGCAGGTATGTGGATCCCATGCGAAGCCTTTAAAGATGCTAAAGGACGTCCGTCCTTCTGTTTGCTTCCTGTCCTGTGAAACTGCTCTCTGCGAGCAACCCCAGTCAGGCTGCTAGGATTGTGCCGGGATTGCTGTGTGCAATAGGAGCCACTTTTTTTTCACAGAGGGCCACACAGGAGTTTCCCTTAAAGGAGACGTGACTGCCGATCAGAACTCTTACTTTGCAGGAAATCTGACCCGGGAACTGCTTGTTTCCTGTGCTTATGGAATGCAGTTTTCCTGCCACTGCAATGACTGTGCTAGGCTCTACTGAGTGGGCACTCCCTGCCCTTTACCTCTCTTAAATTTGGAGGTCTGCGTGTTGGGAAGTGGCATCGGAGGAGCTGGGAAGCGGTAGCTGATGAAATGCAGAGGCTGGGGCTGTCCGTCTTACTGCCTCTTGTCAGACAGAAACCATTGCTTTGTTCCTCCAGGACCCCTCCCAGATTATGTGCCCCCCGAGATCTTCTCTTTCGAGAGTTCCTCAGGATTTCTTCTTTATGGGATGCTCTATAAACCCCACAATCTACAACCCGGGAAGAAATACCCTACAGTGCTTTTCATATATGGAGGCCCACAGGTGAGTCGGCGCTTCAGAACCCTGTCAGTTGATCCTGGTGCAATTAAAAGCAGAAGCCCAGCTGGCTTAGATGCCTTGTGTGAAAAACTATCCCGCACCAGACAGCTGTGCTGCATGCTGCAGCAAGAATAGACAAATTATGTGACGCTTATTTGCATAATTAGTCTTACATTGTATATTTTTCAGCATCGTTTTATGCTTTTATAGTCCTGTTGGAGGCATTTTTCTGCCAGGCACAGAAATTCTCGTTTCTTTGCCCTGTGGGATCACCAACAGCGTTGCCTGTACATTTTAGAAATGTAAATTAGTCAGACAACCATAAGGACTAGGAGCTTTAAAAAATAGAAGAAAGCTGGGATTCTTGGGGATCTGCATAGAGCACCAAGTGCTTTTACTGCAATCCTCTGTGTTTATCACATGCACACAGCTTGTGTCAACTTTTATTTTGTACAGCAGTGTCTTGGCGGTTGCTTAGGGTTTATGAACGTCCCAAAATGGAAGCATTTTCTGTCAGGACTTGCACAACACAAGCAGCTGGAGGGTTCACGTGGCACCATTTTGGACGTGCGACTGCCGTGTGCAGGTTTCCGGGCTGGGCAAATGAGCAGCGAAGGCTCGTGGGGGTTAAAGAACCACTTGCAAGGCATGGCCGGTTTCAGGATTGCTGTCCCGCCCTCGCATAGCCTGTGCTCTCCAGGTCTGCACAACTGGCAAGCCCTCGAGGCTGGCGTGGAGGTGCAGGAGGCGTGGCTCACCCATCACGGCCCGCCACCCTCGGAGGAGCCTCTTGCTCGATCCCGGTCGGTGTCGAGGGTGCAAACGAGATGACACTGGCTGAGGCGAGGCTGGCGGGCACGCTCCGGAACGCTCCCCCCAAGGAGGTTGGCCTGGCACCACCTTCGGATTCTCTTCGACTTAACCCTTTAAAAGATGTTTAATACTTTATTTCCCCATGGAGGCCACCATGGCCTGTTGGCAAAGTAATTTAGTGGAATTTTTAGATTTGTGTTAATTACTAGATTAATTGTGTTTTACTCTTTTCAAGTTCTTCTGTTGCGTTTTTATATTGTGAGTTTAAGGATGTGTTATTTTAGTCGTGTGAGCCACCTAGGGATGCTGCTGGTGGAATGGGTGGCATATAAATATTTTAAATAAATATTTTAAGTAAATAATATGTGTTAAAGCATGCTTGTTGCGGGATGGTGTACTTCAGTGCATACAGGTCACCCCTGGTTATGAATTGCTCACAGACCCTTGGGTTATAATGTTAGACAAAGCAAGAGCTGGCATTCGTGCACCCAAGCGCTGTCAAGTTCTAAGGAAGGTGCTGCCAGCATCAGTGACCGCTGCTGGGGAAAAGGACTCCTGTCGAGCCACTGAGTGGCAGAGAGTGCAAGCGCACAACTGTGAAAGCAGTTGCAGCAGTGAATGGCGGCAAGCCGAGAGATTGTAGAAGGCCTGTGTCCGTGTTTGTGTGTTGGAACAGAGCAAACGCCTCTGAGATCGTCAAAGTACCTCTGTTTGTAAGGAAATAACCGGTCAACCTTTGTATTGTTGAAATATAATCTACGTGGGCGCTGGAGAAGGTTCTCACACATGGCTTTTCATCTAGGTGCAGCTTGTGAACAACCGGTTTAAGGGGGTGAAGTATTTCCGCCTGAACACGCTGGCGTCCTTAGGTTACGTTGTCGTCGTGGTTGACAACCGGGGGTCCTGCCACCGGGGGCTGAAGTTTGAAGGTGCCTTTAAACATAAGATGGTAGGTTGCCGAACGCATCCGGGCAGCCAGACTGCGGAGTAGTTGCATTTTATTAACAGACCACATCATTTCCTTGTATGATGAATGAATAAGGATGCTGAAGGCATAACGGGTTGTTCCGGTAGCTTTTGGCAAGGGGGACAAAGAGGATGTGGGAAGCTGCCTGCTGCGTGTCGCTCCGCCATCCGTCCGTCCAGCGCAGCACCACAGACGTTCATGCCTGGCAGCCGTTCTTCATGGTCTCCAGCAAAAATGTGTCTCTTTCCCAGGCTTCAGTTTTTTTATTGTTTTCTACACTTTAAACAAATAGTTATTCCAAAGGCTTCTGACATACTGAGTACAAAGTCTTATTCTCTCTACAGTTATTATATATTGGAAAAAAGGGTTTCTTTTCCGACTGGGATGCTGGAAGCCTTTGAACGGGAACCGGCAGGGCTCTGGCATGGGTCTCTCCTAGCGCAGGGATCCTTCCAGTGTGTTGTTGCTGTTCTTCCAACAGGGGCAAATTGAAATAGCTGACCAAGTGGAAGGCCTGCAGTACTTGGCCTCTCGGTACGAGTTCATTGATTTAGACCGGGTTGGAATTCACGGCTGGTCCTACGGAGGCTATCTTTCCCTTACGGCATTACTGCAGAGGCCAGAGATTTTCAAGGTGTGTAAACTTACACTGGGGCGCCCCCTTTCTAGTGTGTGTGTGTGTGTGTGTGTGCGTGTGCACGCGCACATGTGTGCTCCATTTGCAGTTTTTAAGAGACATCAGCATGGTTGACATGACAACCCATGGCTTGTTGAATCATGGCGTGTTATTACATCTGAACCCAAGATGAGGGATTAGCTATGAACAACCTGCAGAGGTAATTTACGGGTGGATGTTTATAACTTTCTTCCTGGCACCTGGGGCTACTTCAGAGGCAAGTGAGGAGGCATCCGAATTTCCCGCTGTCCCTGGGGCAACCTCTTTGTCCTTTGTCACTAGCCAGGGCCACCCCGCCGCCATTCACGGGCGTCCTCTGGGCAGCTTCTCAGATTCCCAGGTGTCCCCACAAGCCCAGGGTGTCGCCGCCGCCCGGCTGTTCTTTAATGCGTCATCTGCTGGGGAAGCCTCAAACCCGACGGCCCATCAGCTCACCGCAGCTTTTGGCCTGAGCACCGCGGAGCAGGCCGGGCTGGACTTTTCGGGCCAGCTCATTTCCAAGGAAACGCTGTTCTTCCCTGCCAGAAGTTGCCCTGCAAGTGGGTGACTGTTGTTGTCCTTGGCTGCGCTTTCAGGTTGCCATTGCTGGCGCGCCAGTCACACTCTGGCTCTTTTATGACACGGGGTATACCGAGCGCTACATGGGATGCCCGGACAATAACGAGCAGGGATATTACCTCGGCTCGGTGGCTATGCAAGCGGATAAGTTTCCTTCTGAGTAAGTGCCGCTTTCCCCCTCGCTCCCACTGTGCTGAATGCTGCCCTAATGCACTCCTTGCCTAATTAGATGCTTAAACCGTTGCATGGTAGTAAAAAACCCCACTTAATAAACTTGAACAGGCATTTGCATAATCACTGCCCATTAGGAGTAATCTGCTTTTCTAGCCTTGTTGTCATTAAAGTATTAACTTTTGCCTCAAGAAATTACAGGCCACCCTCCCCCTGCCTCAGATGATGCAATTAGAGCCAGTGCTAATTAAATACATCAGTTAGACACACCACCCCAGTGGCGGCTGACTGCAGAGAACTGCACGAGAGGAGGGAGGTGACGTTCCTCCATCCAAGGTACTCCTCAGCACCGACGACTGGGGGAGGCCGCCTGCTCCCCACAGAGTGGCTGCCCAGCAGCATGCGAGAAGGGCCGTTTTGGGTGCTCAGCACCAGAATGACAGGGGTTCCAGAAAACTGATTCAGGATAATGCAGTGAATTTTCCACAGAAAATGTTCTGCCCCATGTAGAGGCTTAGGAGGGACGTCGGTGCTGGTGCCAAAGGACTCTAGAAGAGCCGAGTCGGAAGGGGCCCTGAAGGCCATCGGGTCCGGCTGGTGCAGGACACCAAGCCACTCCGTCCCACCCAGGTGGCTGCCCAGTTCCTTTGGGATGCCTCTAGTGTGGGAGAGCCCCCCACCTCTCCAGGCAGCCGGTCCCACTGCCCTATTGCTCTGACCGTGGGGAAGCTTTTCCTGATGCCCAGCCTGAGTCTGGGTTGTCGCAGCTTGAGTCGATTCTTCCGTGTCCTACGCTCTGCCCTGATCAAGGAGAGATCTTGTCCTTCCTCTTTGTGGCAGCCTTTGAGGTGCCTGTAGGGGGATATCTTGTCCCCCCTCAGCCTTCTCTTCTCCAGGCTGTAACTGCCCCCCCCCCCGTACCATCCAGTACCTTCCACACATACATCTGTGCAAGGAGAGTAAGAAAAGTGTAATTCCCCCCCGTTTGATACTGGTGTCTTCAGGCCCAACCGGCTGCTGCTGCTGCATGGATTCCTGGACGAAAATGTTCACTTTGCGCACACTAGTGTCTTGCTGAGTTTCCTGGTGAGGGCTGGCAAGCCCTACGACTTGCAGGTAAGAGGAGACTTCACCGTGCATGCGCAGAGGGCGTTTGTGGAGCTGCCTGGGCGGGTGAGCCACCTCCTCTGCACTCCGGACCACGTGCTGTGGGTTGGAAAGGCGCTTTCCAGCGAAAATTGCCACCTTAGCAGTTAGAGCTATGAGCCAGGTGGGGTTGAGTCCCGCCCCCTGAGGGCTTTAAAAGCTCAGGTGTGCCATTGTTCACATGCGCATCCATTACAGAAGGTAGATCAGAGCCGTTGAAACTGATAGCCATCACTTTAAACTTTAAAGCAGCATGTATCTTAGTTTCTTAAAATTTGAAATAATGTATTTTCATCTTTAAAATGAAACTGCACAACCTTTTCTATTTTACTCCATTTTGCAAGAGCTAACTCATGATAGCAACCCACCAAAACAATTACCCAATGAAGGAAACCCCAAATTTTCAGAAGCAGGCACATTTTTCTTTATTTCTGCCAGTCTAAATGTCTAATTATGTGCTGGCTAATAAATTAATAAATATCAGATTTTGAAAAATCCTATTTTTTGATTTTCCACTGCTTTACCTGAACATATTGTACTGAAGGATTTCCCCCTCTTACAGACTTCTCACGGTTTGTTTTTTAAACTTGTAGTCATAATTTGGCTGAGTTCTTGCAGAATTTTCAGGGCCCAAGCACAAATATCCCTGGAGCCCCGATCTCCCCACTGGCTTTTCCTGGCTTGCAGAGCCATCCTGTACATGCCTACTTAGAAACATAGAAACAGCTAGTCAGAAGGGGGCCTCTCGGGCCATCTAGTCTGACCCCTGGCTCCAGCCGGCTCCGCTCACGACATGCCCACCATGTGGACATCCAGCCTGTCCTTGAACACCCGCACCAGTGGGGCCTCAACGACCTCTCATGGAAGCCCATTCCACACCCTCGGGGTCCTGACTGTCAGGAAGTGCTTCCTGGCATCCAAATGGAGCCTTGGCTCCCTGAGCTTTGCTCCGTTGGAGTGCGTCCTGCCTTCCTCTGCAGGGGAGAACAGGTCTCTGCCCACCTCCGTTTGACACCCCCTCACATGCCTGTATGTCGCCAACAGATCCCTCTGAGTCTCCTCTTCTCCAGGCTGAAGAGGCCCAGTTCCCTCAGTCCCGCCTCGTACGGCATCCCCTGCAAACCGGCCACCAACCTTGTGGCCCTACATTGCACTGACTCCAACCTGGCTATATCCTTTCTGTAATGAGGGGCCCAAAACTGAGCACAATACTCCAGTTGTGGGCGCACCAGAGTTGTGTAGAGTGGCAGTAATACCTCTCTCGATCTAGAAGCCACACTTCTGGCTATGCAACCAAGGGTGGCGTTCGCCCTCTTGGCCACCGCATCACACGTCTGACTCATGTTCAGCCTGCAATCAACCAGCACCCCGAGGTCCCTTTCACAAGTGCTGCTCTCCAGCCACTTGTCCCCTAACCTGTCCTTATGACACCTATTCCTATGCCCCAAGTGCAAGACCTTGCACTATCCACACTGAACGCCATCCTGTTGTCTCCTGCCCACTTCCATGGTCTGTCCAGATCCTTTTGGATCTGGAGCACCTGCTCCTCAGTTGTGGCCACTGCCCCAGTTTTAGTATTGCCTGCAAATTTGTTCACCCCTTCTTCCATGTCATTGATGAAGAGATTAAACAGGATCAGCCCCAGGACAGAGCCCTGGGGGATCCTGCTTGTCACTGGCTGCCATCCCGATGATTCCCCGCTAATGGTGACCTTCTGCTTTCGGTCAGTCAGCCATGCCCTAATCCACCAGACAGTGCTTTGGTGTATCCCAAAACTCCTCAGTTTCTCCACCAGGATATCATGGGGCACTTTGTCAAAGGCCTTGCTGAAATCCAGGTATACCACATCCACTGCATCCCCTCCATCTAGCCGCCATCTCGAAACCTTGTCATAGAATTCCACAAGGTTTGTCTGGCAGGACCTGTTTTTGCGGAAGCCGTGTTGTGTGGCTGCCAGCCTCCCTTCCCTATCTAGCATCGCTAGATCTCTCTCTATTATGACCCTTTCCATTGTCTTTCCTACAATGGAGGTAAGGCTAACTGGTCTGTAATTCCCCATGTCCCTTCTACTATGCTTTTTGAAAATTGGGACCACTGATGTCACCCTCCAGTCCTCTGGGACTTCACCCGTTCTCCATGAGGCCTCAAAAATTGAAGGCCAGCGGGCGTGAGAGAACCCCTGCCAACTCCCTAAGTACTCTCGGGTGTAACTTGTCAGGGCCTCGCACCTTTGTAACGTCCAATGCCCTGAGGAGCCCCTCGACTTCAAGGGGATGACTCTAATCTGTGCCCCTAAGTCCCCAGCCTCATCTAATCTCCTACGCGGATATCCCCCGTCCTGCTTTGGGGAGAATACAGAGGCAAAATAGTCATTTAGCATCTGTGCCTGTTCCCTCATATCAGTCACTGGATCCCCTTCCTCCTTATTTAGTGGTCCCACCACTTGTCTCCCCTTCCTCTTGCTATTTACATGCTGAAAGAAGCCCTTTTTGTTGCTCTTGATATTCTTGGCAAGTCTCAGCTTGTAATCAGCCTTAGCCTTGCGAAGAATCCTTCTGCAACGGGCCTCCTCCTCCCGGTGTACCCTTTTGTCTATTTGCCCCAGTACCCATTTCCTACGGAGGTTCCTCTTTCGTCTAATCCCTCTAACCACCTCCTTTCGCATCCAGGTCGGCGCTCTCCTCCACCTTCCCACCTTACTGACTAGAGGTATCGTCAAGGCTTGCGCCTCCAAAACCTCCCGTTTGAGTGCCATCCACCCCTCCTCAACTCGCTTGCCTTCCAGTAACCCAGTAAACTCCCCGACCTTCAGCCGCTCTAGAAGGCCTTTTGCCACGTAGCTTGTCTGGAGGTCAAGGAGGGAAAGCCGGTGTGGCTTCCCTTGCGCAAGCAGGGAAGCTGCGTTGTCTGGCGCCGGGGGCTGCCTGGGACATCATTCCCCGTGTAATCCCTTCCCAGAGCGGGATCCTGTCCCTGACCCCACCTGATCTGAGGCCGGGGGCTTTTCTGGCACACCCCGGAAGGGGTCGGGTGCCAAACCAGGCCCTTGCTAAGTGGGAGAAGGGGCTTCCCTCCCTCTCTTTCCAGATCTATCCGCAGGAGCGACACAGCATCAGGGTCCCCGAGTCTGGAGAGCACTACGAACTTCACCTCTTGTATTACCTCCAAGAAAACCTGGGATCTCACATGGCTGTCCTGAAGGCGCTGCACTGAAGGCCGGGGAGGGACTCTCGGCACGCCGGACGCCCATGCCGTTGACCCAAGGGCGGAAACGCGGGACAGGACGTCCCCCTCCGGGGCCTGCCGGAGACCACCCCCCATGCACACACGCAGCCTTGCTTTATTAACATGACTCTTTATTTTTTAAAAGTCCACCTGGTGCCATACAAGAAGACAACTGTACAGGGAAGGAGCCCTTTTAAGTGTAAATAATAAAGCCAGCGCCTGTGCTGCCCGGAAGCCTGCGTTCCTTTATCCCCGGCTCCTCGCTTCCTCGGCCCGCTGCTGCACGAGTGTCCCAAAGCCCCGGGCAGGCCAGGCGGGGGCTGGACGATGCCGGCTGCCGCCTGGGCATCTCGGGTGCCAGCGCTCAGCACGTGGGGAGAAGCGCATGTGGCAGCCGGCCTCTGAATGGTGCAGTCCAGGTCCTTGCTTTGGGCGCGCTGCTGTGGGCAGCATGCGGTCCCACAGCCCCGGGATCAAGCCGCCTCTGTGCCCCCCACGCAGCTGGCCAGCGGGGTGCCACTGGGCCTCGGGGGGGGAGGAGCAGGTGGGGGGGAACGGCGGGCTGCGGGGCTGTGCTGGTCTCCATCAGCGTCCCAGCCAGCCACCTCCCCTTCTCCCTGGCACTGACTCTGGCTGGCTGGAAGCAGCCATCTGGAGACAATGCCTGGCGAAGGTCTCCGGAGTGGCACGGGAGGTTATCCCACGAAAAGCCCAGTCGTGAGAATAACCAGCGCCTGGAACTTGGGGACACTTGACCCTCAGGAAAATCTGGGACTGCACACGGCCTGGGATTACGGCCTTTGACACATTCGTGGAGGGTGGCTCTCTAGAGTCACTCACTGGCTAGCCAGATGGAACTGCAACATACCGCAGCAGTCTATCTGAGAATCAGGTGCTGAGAATAACCTGCAGGCCGCTGCTCGTCGGGCCCTGCTCGGGAGCTTCTGGGGGCAACAGGTTGCCAGCCACTGCGGTACGGAGCAGCGAGGCCTTGGTATGGTCTGGCAAGGGCAGGGCCTCGCCTCCGGCTTTGCCAGCTTGAGGGCTGCAGACCAGCCTCCTGGCAGCAGCGAGTGCGGGGCAGAGGCTGCGGACAGTGATGCGCACGCCCCGAGTCGCTGCACGGGTGGAGGGGATGCGGGCGCTGGGCTACGCTGCCACATCGCACTGGCTCAGGGTGCATGGGGAGCACCCGGCCCCCTTTGTTTCCTGGGGCTGAATCAGGCCCCTTGCAGCTCTGTCAGTGAAATCTGATGGGTTGGCTCCATGGCTTCGTTGCGCTTTGAGCAGCCCCAGTGAAACCCACGGGACTGATTTGTCAGGATGAAAGCCCCGGTCCGAGCCAGCGTGTGTGCCTGCGTGCCACGTAGGTGGGAGACAGACTGGCCCTGTGTCCGCTGAGCGAGTGGCGCACGAAGGCCTCGCGGCTGCTTTTCAGATACTTTCATGGCAGCCCCACCTGTGCGGGAGGGCGGCTGGGTGGAAGGGGAGATCAAAGGAAGGCACCTCCTCAGGTATGCCAGGTACAGACCATAGGGCAGTCATCCCCAAGCCGGTGCTCTCCAGATGCAGTAGACCATGATTCCCGTGCTCCCCAGCCAGTGTGGGTAGGGGAGGGGTGCTGACAGCAGCTTGAGTTCCCAAAGCCCCCTAGGGGGGCTGTTCTTGGCTTTAGTAAGAAAGTTCTTCACTGTCTGAGGAGGGCACAGGGCACCTCAAGCACCTCTGTTACATGACTTGCATTTTGAGTTTCCTCTAAAATGAGACATTCTAAAACAGCAAACCAGGATAACCTGTGGAGTTTGGTTTGGAACACCCCCTTTGAGTGCCTGTTCCCAACAATCAGAGAAGCTTTGCAAACTCACCTGGCGTACCTCGCATTGTGGAAAGGGCGCTCCATCCTGGCAGAGGACACCTGGCAGTTTCCTCTTAATTCTGCACCCGGGGGGGGGGGGTGCAGGTGTCCAGGTGTTCAGTTTCAGAACACCGGAGTCCTGTGTCAAAACACCTGGCCAGCAGTTCTCAGGCGACTGGGCCTCCAGTCCCTGCCTGCCTTCTCTAGGGGAGGAAACTTTGCATTCTTCTATTGCAATAATAAAAAATACAGCCGAATGCATTGGTGTGGCTGAGCAAAGCAGAAATGTCTGGAAACAAGAACAAAAGTAAAAGAAAAATCCGCTTTTTTTGCCTGCCTATTAGAAATGGAGATAAAGTTTGAGACAGGTGTATGTGAGAGAGAGACGGAAAGAGTTTTTATCTTGCTGAGCTGTAGCCATATATCAGGAGATGCTTCCTAGTCATTGACCCAATTTAGTTTCTGTAACTGCATCGGAAACAAAAAGAAATGTACAACAGAATTTGGAACGGAAAAATCTTTCTGCTTTGAGGATTTTCACTTAAATGTGGCATGAAAGCTCATCCGTGTTCTGTGCATTCTTCTCCTGTTCTGTCCCTTGTGCCCAATATTCCACAGCAATTTTGGAAAATTCCTGATAAAGTGATTCACACATGTCCTTTCCATGAACTTTTGTGCTTTTGCTTAGTCTTTTTGATTGGAGGGACTGCGTGGCACATTTGGAGAAGAGTGGATTTCAGAGGATCGCTTCTTGCTTGTTCCTGTGTTGGTTCAAAAGTGCCCAAGTTAGGTAAGTTCTCCTGAAACTGTAAATGGAGCAAATTCTCCCCGAACTCTGCCAGGTAGAATCTCCTACAGCTGTGGAAGGCTACGGAGTTCCCGCAGCTTGCTGGGTCAAATCGCACCCAGCAGAGGGCGCTGTGGCACAAGAAAACGGCCGCATTTGGTGAGTGAATCCTTTGTGAAGGGCTGAGCTAGGGGTGGGTTTCAGAGTGTTCTTGGTGGCATCACGCATGGACCCTATTTTGTTGTTGTTAGTCGAGAAGTCGTGTCTGACCCATTGTGACCCCATGGACACCATTCCTCCAGGCCTTCCTGTCCTCCACCATCCCCTGGAGTCCACTTTAAGCTCACACCAACTGCTTCAGTGACCCCATTTAGCCACCTCATCCTCTGCCGTCCCCTTCTTTTGCCATCCATTGTTCCCAGCATTAGGCTCTTCTCCAGGGAGTCCTTCCTTCTCTTTAGGTGGCCAAAGTATTGGAGTTTCATCTTCAGGATCTGGCCTTCTAAAGAGCAGTCAGGGCTGATATCCTCTAGGACTGACCGGTTGGATCGCCTTGAGGTCCAAGGGACTTGCAGGAGTCTCCTCCAGCACCACAATTCAAAGGCCTCAATTCTCTGGCACTCAGCCTTCCTTATGGTCCACCAGGCTGTGCATAGGAATATGCATCAGTCCTGTCCTGGTCAGGACAAGGGGTCCTTGCTGGGGACGCTTTGCTCTGGGTTTTTGCACCTGCTGGACTTGACCACTGCAGTGTCTTTTACATGGGACAGCCCTTAGTGAGGACACGGAAGTTTCAGCTTTCCCAGAATATGGCCATGCACATTTTAATGGGCATTTTGTTGCAGCCACGTCCAGCCAGTATTACAGCAACTGGTGCTGGTTCCCACCTTTGGAGAAGGGAGTGAGGAGAATAAAGCGGAGGCAAATGTGGGCAAGTGGAATCCTGGGGCTTGGTTCCGTTGGATTCCCCTCATTCTGCACCACGCGTGTCCCCGAGATACGAAGAGAACCTCTTGGTAGGGCTGGAAGTTCACTGCTGCGTGATTTTTTCTTTGCAAAACCAGCTATTGAAGGCGGGGGGAGGGGGGCTGTTGCAGAAAGCAAAATGTAAGCAATTTGCCCAGATCCTGCTACTGGGGGCATTCTGCCTTGCTTAAAATGGAGCTATATTTTGGCAAGAGCATATAAATCAACAAAACAAGACAGGCAAAAAGATGAATTTACAAGGAGCGTGTTTGCCTCTCCTCCTGATTAATAGCAATTGCAGTTTTGACGGCTGTGTTGATGGAAAAATCCTGCCATTATGCTGAAATGGATTATGAAATAGGCCACGCTGAGAACCGTGGAGTGTTCTGCTTTCCAGGAAGCATTTAGTTCCCATCAGTAAGGAGGCATTTACATCTGGCTTTTGCAAGCAGGAGTAGCTTATGCTGGCGTGCAGCATCAGGCAGCCTGGGTGGCACCGTGGGGAAGAGCACGGAGCTGGGACTCAGGCGATGCGGGTCCCAGTCCCCGCTCACCATGGCCCCAGCTGGGTGGCTTTGGGCCAGGCACAGGCGCTCAGCCCAACCTGCCTCGCAGGGCTGTTGTTGTGGGGATGAAGACTGAGAGCAGGTGGCAGAGAAGGATGTAAGCCACTTTGAGTTTTTTAAAAAGAAAAAGGCTGGGATAAAAATCTAAGAAATAAACATGGGCACTGCACCCCCTGGTATTAAGTAAGGTCTCTGCTTTATGGAGGACAATCCGTACAAAGTCCAGAGTGGGGATGGGCAACTCATTGACTAAATAAGCAAGTGCGTAATGAGATGACCGGGGAGCTGGACTTCCTTGTCCACGGTGGCGACTGGGGCGCGGACGGACGGGGCCCTCTGCTGTGGCAAGACGCGGGGCGCTTCTGCTGGAACGCCCATGACTATGGCTTCACTTGTCTTGAAAGGCATCACTTAGCCTGTGCAAACATTGCGTGAATCTGTGCCCTCTTTTTGGGGAAGGAGGGCGTGGCCGCCGTATTAAATGCACATGTTGCTAAGGCCCCGTGAGGAGTTACACAGTCCGTCGTGAACTGGCAGAACCAGGCTCTTGCTCTACATCACGGCTGCATTTTGCACTTTCTCCAGCTGCAATTATTATCGTGTTGGCTTGTTTCTAAGATAAACAACCCAGGCGATAAAAGCTTTGCTCCTGGGGAGGTTCAGCCCCTGGGTCAGTGAGGTTGCTTGTTTCTGCCCCAGTGCAGTGATATTTTTAGCAGCGGAGACCAGAAAGTGGTGCAAAGTAGTCCAAGTGAGGTCATTTCACCAATTCCAGGGCCAGATGTTGGTGGCACTTTATTCTGAGTGCTTTTTCCAAATATGTGTAAGACAGAATTTCCCTGTTTCACAGTAGCCACATGCTGGGCTCAACTTTTATTAATCTGTCTACTTCAACCAGGTGCAGCCTCATGGTCAGAATATTGGGACTTGGGAGTTCCAGGTTTGAGTCCCTGCTCAGCCATGGAGCCAGCTGGGTGACTTTGGGCCAGTGACTGCCTCTGGCATAACCTACCTCACAGGGTTGTTGTTGTGAGGATAAAATAGAGAGGAAGGGGACCTT